ATCCCTCTTCTTTGCTGCCTCCACTGCTTTCCGTGACACTCTGTATTGGCGTGCCACAACTGCCACTTTCTTCTCCTTTGCTGCAGCAGCAAGCTCTACACGAATTTTTCGAGGAATTGGCTTGCTACCCATGTCAAGAAGCGATTGATGATGAAGAGAATGCATCCAATCTCGATGGGGTTGAGAAAAGCGGGAGCGGGACCGCTCCAATGACATCAGAGGGGGGGAGTGCGACGCAGTGTGGCGAAAAGTGTGCCAAACTTTTCCGAGATGACTGTACAGTTCAAAGCTTCAAACCATCCCCGCTAGCTTGCTCCTTACTCGCTATCGCAGTCTGAGTCATCTAATTGATCTTCGTATCTTACATCCGAGCCATCGCTGACCTCTCCACCGTCATCGGATTCATGTCCGTAGTCCTCACTTGTCCCTTCTTCATCCTCACCGGACTCATCTTCTCCACCACTTTCGTTTTTCCACTCGTCATCTTCTCCTGTTGAATGTTCTTCTTTCGACGCTTGGTCGAGAAGCTGATAAGACAAGCTTCATCGGGGGGTGTCATGGTACATTTCTTGGCTGATTCGGCTTGATAGTGCATTCAGCCCTCGCGAGAGATATCGTTGAGTATCGTTTTGAACGGACTCAAGGGGAGGAAACAGGGGGCCGTTTAGCGCATTTGGGAATTCCGATGCGAAGCCGAGACTTAGCATCGCTCTGAGTCTCCTGAGCGATTGACTGAGCTCTTTGGACTTTTGAGACGATTGTGTATCGTACCCCAGCGGCAGCATAGGCAAAGCGTCGAAGTTGATGCTCGGATCTTCTTCCTTCGCAGCCACCTTATCTCTATCCTTTCGTGCGCGTTGACTGTCTTCCAATCAGTTGCAGCTCGATCGACCATATACCGAAAGGGTTCCTCGAAGGTTCGCAGGTGGTTGTCGTACATGTGTGCGAAGTAGTATCCTCGCCTCCTGTACTAAAGAATCGGAATACAAACACATTTCTTGTTGCAACGTGGCCGTACTCACATGTCGGCGCCGCAGGGAACACCGTTAAGCAGCGGGATCGCGCAGGTGACTACAACAGGTCGTCTAGGTCAACCGATACTTTGGCAGAAATGAGTAAGCAACATACAAACTCGCTAAAGTCGCGGGTCTGACGTTCTTCATTGTAATGTTCCTGGCACCAATCTTTCTGCTTCAAGAACCTTAACACCGTTGATCTGTCGGAATGGTAAGAAGTGCTTGTGGGTGGTCACGGGTCGCCGGTGGGAACCTTGCTCAGGTGAACCTTCTCAAGTTTGAAAGGCTGCCAGAGCTTCTGTTTGTTCTCGCCACTTCGTTCCTTTTTCTGGTGAGCGAATAGTCGCTCGGTTTCGTTACAACGCATCAGCTCTCAAGGCGCCGGCTGTGATATACGTCATGCGATGAATTGAGGGCGTGGAGAATACTGGAAGATCAAAGGACAGCCCTGTCTGTTTTCACCACTATATATACAACCCGTAGTCCGCGCTTGCTATGAATCAAGGACATAGAGGTAGAGTCGCATAGAAGCTAGTACATAGAGAACAGGAGATTAAGCCCCGGGTCACAGTGGACATGATTGCCAGGACCGAGACAAGTAACAAACAGATATATATATTATGTGGCCGCCGACTGGTAATAAGCCTCAGAGGTGAAGACGCAGTGGCACAGAGGCTACTGCGCTGCACTCGAATTACGTAATACCTTCGAAATGCAGTTCCTTCGGGAGCGTGAGTTCGAGTCTCACCTGCGTCTCTCTTTTTGCAGCCTTTTTTTCAGAGTTTTTAATGCTGGAAACACTTCTGCAGGCTTCAGAAATGGCCAGAAAATCATCACATCAATTGTAGTGATTTTTGAGTGCAAGAAACAGTTAAAAGTTACCGATAGTGTGTCTAAGATGGTGCCATGGCTGATGCAAGATGCGCCACAGAACGATCTTCAGGCAAAAGGACCCACTGCCAGTGTATGTATGCCTTGTGTCACAACCCGACACATGTCAAGCACGTTATCCCAAGTCGTATCATGACTTATACTTACGTAACATCTCATAAGCGTCACTTCGCGACTCCTCTGTCGTGACTCTTTGTCCCGCTACCAGAGGGACATTCTAGTCTTAGCTTCATTATCATCGTCCACTGTGCTATAGGTCTGGTCTCCCTATAGTTCGGTCGTAACAGGCTACTGATTGACTCTCATAAGAAAGGAGGAGCAAGCTACAATGTGGATTTGAAGCGCCAGACTCAGTCCCGAGAGTTTCTATGGCAGCCAGTAGGTTCTTGAATCAAACCCCAGGATCCATTCACTAAAATCATCGCCCATTTCTCTATCAGTGCTCGTATGTACTATGTCACGATGATCAGCCTAAGATAGAGCTCGGATTGGTGGTAACGGAAATTGAGCACGTGATATGGCCGTCCACGTCCACGTCCTTGACATACGGACATACGGACAGATCACATACAATTTACAAGAAATATGAATCCTCGGAGTTCATTCGCCCACGGAGCATCTGCGTAACACCCGAGGTTGAAGTGCTCCGTCGGATGACATTCCTTCCTTCTTCTGACCAGAATGCCATCATCCTCAAGCTTCAGGTCTCCGCAGCCTCTGCTGCCATGACGGTTTTGCTCTCTCGCCCGCTTCCGCATTGATCTCCTCCAGTATGCGCCATTTGCTGCGGACGATCACCGTATTGACCCATGTCACCAGTCAGCTTGCCTCAATAGCCTAGCCCCGCCTAGCCTAGCGAGCAAAAGCAGGGACTCTGCATGTATCAGACACAAGAGTGTACTCACCGATCGATAGTGTCTTCATCCCAATCCTTGATCATCGCATAATGTTTCTTATAGCTCCACACCGAGCTGCCCAGACCCACTACCACCGCTCCGAGTGCGCTTCCGCCCATGATTCCGAGGACGGTGGGTAAGGTACCTATGCGCCGCCATTTGGTGGAGAGGTAGAGTGCTGAGAGAGCGGCGGAGGTGTATCCTGCGATCTGAAGTCGGATGGGGTGGGAGTCAGCAGTGCGATACAAGCGGTAGACGTTTGATGGGTTGCATGTATGCGAATTAGGGGTATAGATGAAGGCCATGCATTCGACTCGGACTGAAGGGGGAAAGGGAATAGATAGCAGGAGCATCAAGAGAGGGTTGCGGTAAAGGGAGATAGGAGAATTTCCGGGATCACATGAACCATCCGGCATCCCTCGGCGGCCAATTACTCCCTGTGCATTAACATAAAGCGACGAATTCTCCAGGAGATCTCTTCCCGCTGAGCCTCCAGACGCACCTTGCCATGTCTGATCCCCTGATCACCCGTCTCAAGCAACATCTCCAACTCCTGCCTGCTGATCTCGCCTTGACCGATCCGGCGCTCTGCAACCTCGTTGAACACTCTTCGAGCCTTCTCTGGATCTACCCTGGCGGAAGTCGAGCCCCAGGGCTCAAGGGGTGGTGGCCGGGCGGTCGGTACTGATTCTGTGGCAGGGGGGAGGGGGATGACATGGGTATTCGGATCGGTCTGGGTGGATGCGGGCTGTTGGGTTCGTGCTGGGCTTTGGGCTAGGCCTTGGTCTTGAGTATTGTCGACTCTGGGAGAAAGCTCGGTTCCGCCAAAGGCGCGATAAATCGTCTGGTATTCTTCAGGTGTCATGGTACAGTCCAATCAAGCTCAGAGATACGTCTCGGTTGTATGGGATAGATCAGACGGCGGATCAGATATCGTTAGGCTAGGCAGATGAGAAGGGCCGTAAGTAGAGTGGTAGGTAGTGTACTCTGGAGTCCAATGAGGTGGTTTGAGGTAGTAGGCAAGTAGGCGAGCAATCGATCGATGGGATAGAAGAACCTCAACATCAAGACATTCAATCAGCTTCTTAAGACATCGTATTCGACATGCACTCTTCCGTAGCACTCCTCAATGCATGGGGTCACGATCAGTACCTCCTCCATACGTGAGACAAGAATGCGCTGAAGTTATCACTGGCATTGACTCGCCGAGAATGAAGCAGAAAGCGGAGCAGACGGACAGACGCGCACGACACTGCTCGGCAGAGTAGATCTCGTATCACCACCGGCGCGGCGCAATGGCATCAGCGGTAGCAGCAGCAGCAGCAGCAGTGGCCCTGATCTAGCTCAGCTAAAAATAAGCCAATGTTTCCTTGTAATTTACCCTTCTTCATATGTAGATGCATACAATCGATACAGAGCTACGCTGCAGCTGATGCAGTCGACGGTCGAGTTTGGCGTCAAGTGAATAACTAATTGCCGGACACCAGACATCGACGGACGACGCGTGAACACCGAAAGATTCAAATATGAGGACCCGGGTACATGTGGAAACCCAAAAGGCTAGAGCGAGAGAAGAGCGGCACTGAGCCGACGAAGAGAAGCGTATCGTTTAGGTAGATCGAGGTGAGGGTATGTACGCGGGAATGAATGATTGGAATGGAAACATGGGCATCCAATCCGGTCTAGTCTGCCTGGTGTAAAAGTCAATCATCGTGTCCATCAAACGAGCGGCGAGACGATTTGTGCGTCGAAAGATGCCATCGATCCGCCTTTCCGAACGAGCACGTCCTTCATTTCGTCGAGGCTTGCCTGCCTACCTCTCGTAGAGACAGGTCAAGCTATGATAGAAACTACTGTACCAGTACTGTTCGCGTCGTACTGTACGTTCAGTCAAGATCGACAGGATGGGAAGACTGACTTGCTCCCTCCATTCTCCGTCTGTATCGTGACGTATGACTTCGATCTATTCGTCCTGTCCTGGTCCGTTTGTGTCTGTCTCATCTAGCTTGTTCCGCTGCAAGAGTCGGGACACTGCCGCAAAGCACACGCTCACCCACACACGTTCCCCGTTTCAACTCTCAACTCATATGTGTACACCACACACGTCTCGTCAAGGCAATTGGATACAGTCGAGAAAATAAACCTTCGCCCTTCCCACTTTTGAGGAGCGTGCTTCGTGGGCCTGACCGATAATCTCACGACCTTCCGCACGAGGCCACGATACCACTGCGGGACATCTCGCCCTGATCACTGAGCAGCATCACAGGCGGGCGCACACACCGACCCACGCATCGAGCAACAAAGATGCATCGCGCCATTTATCGCTAAACGCACCCTCGATGCCCCGTCCTACTCAAACCCGAATGCGAAGCCAGATACAGATACAATAAACCGACTAGTTCTTGATCTTCTTCTTGGGTCGGATCTGGGAAGAGTGGCCACACTTCCTCTTTCGCTGTGGGTGTGAGCGTGGATGTACGTCAGCATTATATACCTTCCCGTAGTCGTAGCGGGGATCGTTTCGAGGATATAGCTGTACTCACGCAGTTGGTGGCTCGGGGAGGGAGTCGGGCGTAGCACTTTCGGCAGATCTGCTTGTCACACTGATGGATGGGGAAGGTAGTCAGCACAGTTGAAGACATAATCAGGATATGCTTGGCCGAGATCAACAATCAGGTGAGGTTGTCCGTTCGGGACTCTCATCGAGTCGAAATGGACACAGATCGCATGACGAAAGATACCCACGTTGTACTTGTTGGCAAGCACCTTGAGCGAGGGCTCAATGATACCACCTCGGAGTCGAAGGACAAGGTGGAGGGTGGACTCCTTTTGGATGTCTGCGGGGGGTGAACGAGGATTAGCACGAGGAACACTTGTCGAAACCTGCTGACCCTCCGCCGCGATATCTCTTCGTCTCTGATGCCCCTCCTTGCAGCTCATACAACCGCGCCATGGCCTCTCCGCGTTCCTGACCAAGCCGGGTAACCTCGATGCGTCGTTCGCCGGCGGGCCAACGCTTTCTTTTCGCTCCCTCCTGCCTCGCGCTCGACCACCGATGATTCTCATTATCATATCCTCGTTCCCACATCCTTCCTTCCCACATCTCAACAACGATCGCAATGTCACCATCCCACCCAGACCAGAACACAAATCGTGATTCGATACCCACTGTAGTCGGAGAGAGTTCGGCCGTCCTCGAGCTGCTTTCCGGCGAAGATCAATCGCTGCTGGTCAGGGGGGATACCCTCCTTGTCCTGGATCTTGGACTTGACGTTGTCGATGGTGTCCGAGGACTCGACCTCGAGGGTGATGGTCTTACCCGTGAGGCTGAGGAAGGGGGAACATAAAGATTGTCAGATTCATCTTTTTGCGCTTTCCGGTTCTCCATTTTTTCTACTGTTCCTCTCCATCTTCCGTCTCTTCCTAACGACCGATCCTTGGTCTTCTCCGATGGCGATCGGCAGGAGGAACGGAGGGGGACAATAGGGAGGTGAGGTGACACATACGTCTTAACGAAGATTTGCATCTGTAATAGGCCAGAACGAGGACAATCAGCTCATAGTCCTCAACTCTCGCATCATTTCATCGTCCATCGCATTTCCCTCCCTCCTTCGTACTGATGATACAGACGGCCCTTCCGCTCACCTTGATGGAACCTGCAAATTCGTTAGTATGAAGTAGGTTAAGAACAAGCCTAAGGTTCCTTTTGTCAAGGCAAGTCGATATGTTTTGTGCAAATGACAGGACAGGCGAGCGATCGCGAGAGGGCTGCAAGCGTACGAGAGAGAGAGCCAGCTGCAGCAGAGAGGAGTGAGAGTGAGGAGCAACAGGAGAGCAGAGCAGAGCAGAGCAGCAGAGTAAGTGCGAGAGAAGGTCCCACCGTACAGAGTGGCCACGAAGTGTACGGTGTACGGTGTACGGTGTACAAGCACAAGCGCTCAGTGTCGGGCATGGGACTCGCTACAATGA